ACTGTGTACATACCAACCACCCTTTTCTCAAATTTTCTTTCATTTTGGTTCTAGGCTTGGTTGCCTCGTTGCCTTGTCGACCTCATTAGGCGATGACCAAAATTAATGAAAACCAGGTTCTGTTGACGTAGCGTTACACATTTCTAGAACCTGACATCTACCGACTAGGTATTACTCACACTGCATACATATCATCCCAACGATATTACATGTACACCGCCCCTTTTGCTGATCAGTGACCAGTTGTCAGTGCAGATCATAAGTACAGGAGCAAGACATTAACTTTGAGGAAGTTATATTAACCTGCTTATTACGGAGCATACGACCATGGAAGAGAGTATTGCGTCGTTTGCGTATTAATCCTTGCTTCGAGTCCCGTCCAAACAGTCGCATTGGGCTGCTTCCCGCATGCATATGGACCGAAAACTTGGGGTCTAAAAGATGATACGATACCTACCAATCTATCACACCAGAAAATAAAATTTCATGCACAGGTGGCTTGCTTGATCAAAATTAGACGGGTTTTTGGTTCCTCGCGCATCGTAAAATGACCATAACGTGGCGGTCCCTGCAGCTGGAACTCTATGTGCATACACATCGGGCGTATGATGTGAGTATCATGGATTCATCATAACAAGTAAAAGAAGACGGCGGGACAATCGTGCACTTTCCCGATGAATCTTCTGACAGAGACGAGGAATATGATACCAATGTAGATGACTTAGACGAAATTATCCTAATCTCCCCAGTCCTAAAGACTATAGGTAGCAATAATAGCTAAGCATAAATGATTTATTAATATATATTTCTACTCTAGATATTTCTCGAGATCCACTAGAGCGAACATGTGCGTGAAATTACCTAAGGTTTGGCGTACCATGGGGGGTCGCATTAGGCAGCGTATAGATGCTGTAGAGAAAAGGGGCACCTAACGCAGGAGTACCTAAGTTTTTCCTAAACACCCAGCAATAGTAGCATGTCGATTTTTAAAACCTCAACACACGAGAAAGAGTTCTAGATATATGTAGAGGATATTGATTGCCACTACCATGTATAACCAATCCGATCCATCTAATCCAATCTATGCCCTGTGAGCTATGCCTACCGTAGACGTGGTTTTGGGTACTTGAGCTTTCTTACGTTGCTAATGCGAAGTAATGCTTCAGCTTGTCATAGTTGATTTAGCCATCCGAGATTCAGTTGTCATATAGCGGCGGTAAATCACTTACATTATGAAACTACCATAGTCATGAGGGCGACAGGAAGGCTTAGAATTTAAGAGTTAAAGCCAATCAATCGTTACGAGAATTGTATCTGATAAGAACTCAAAGTACTTGACTTGGATGGGTACTGAATCTTTTGATTAAACTATGTTTACGTTACGAGGACATTGCTGCTTCTTTACAACTACATGACATAAATCTGTATACCCGGAGTCAATATTCTATTTGGAATGCGAAAGGTTAATTGTGTGAGAATATACCAATCGTCTAGCACCTCTTTGAATATGGTGATACCTTTAAACTAGGTACATTGGGAGAAGTCAAACGATTTCCCTTCATTTAGTTCTTAGGCGTTAACTTTGCATCCGAATCGTGTTCATCCCCTACGTGCTTCTCGCCTTTCACTCCCATCAACTTTTCCCATATTCCCCTCACGATATTACGACCAACTGTGGGTTCGGCTGCCGGATTCTGTTTGTATGGTTGCTGATGTCCCACAAGGATCGTTCCCCCACCCCTTCTAGACTTTCCGTCCACTCCAGCCGAAGGCATTGTGAGTTTAGATAGTAATAGAAGGAGCTCAAATTGCGTATGTTCGTTTAGATTTTGGTGTATCGACCGAAGATATCGAAGATGGTGAAAATCGATAATTCAGCACTATTTGCACGGATCCTTGAGTCTCTAAAGCAAACTAGAGTCAACATATTGCTAAAGCCACATTGTAGAATGAAGTTATATAGACAAAATAGAGTGCTTGCCTTTTGAGACAGATGTAACCGAGGATTATTGGACAATTGTCGATACTTAGTGCCCTACTGTAGGTAGCGATGGGATTCTGAGGATCTATGTCTAGAATTATGATAATCAGAAGGACACCACGAAATAAATAGTGGCCGTGTGTTCCTGTTTATCGATTGGGGTATCCGCACGCGTCCTTGACGCATCCCGAGCATGGGTAACCGGGAAGTGCCATGCGGAGCAGGAGGAGACGCGTGTGGCCCTCCGTCCAAGGTAAAAAATTTTCCTGGCATGGCTGTGAACCGAGCTAACGATGTTTACAGTGGGAAATTACCAGTCGCCTATACACTCAATAGCCAATTTAAGGATAAGGATGATAGTCCTTACTAGAACGGAGGCGGAGTATAGAGTACAACGCGGTGGAAGCGTAGCGAAGGCAATCGTAGGTAACTGTGAGCTCCGTGGGTTTGCAGCTGGGCAGTACCTATGTCGACACGTTGGTACCAATACAACCTTGCTGCGCACCAGAATACGCTAAATCCAATCGCTACCACGAATTTCGTATCTAATCCCGCATCCCACAAAGCAGGTACCTTAGGTAGCGTTGAAGAATATAGGTAGGTTCTGATAAATTGTCAAATGTATAGGTACTTCTCAAAATGTTGTACGGGGGACATAAACAACCAGGTTTTTACATTGAACAAGTCGACTTTTAGCACCGAAATCCCGGGCGGCTGGTACGCTCAACGCCAGAGTTAGGCCACCTTGGTAGCCCTAGCCCAATGTTAGATCTCTTCCATCTCTTCCATCTCTTCTTGTTAATAGACCCTAATACCATTCCCACGTCGGATTGAAGAGATATGGTATTAATCCATTTCCTTGCCGATCCCCTGGAAAATAATGGACGAAGATTGACGTTCGTAGAAGTCCCTCCAGGCGTAGCGTTGGGCCGAAGAGTAGCTGTAATCCAGGTAGATAAGGGCCCCAATTTGCTGTTTGTAGCAACCTGTCCCGATCCCTAGCTCCCCTGATTGAACTTAACATTCCGAATCAGATTTGGGCCCATAACAAACATCGACCAAAGTCCATATCATAACAGTCATTCACGTCTTTAAGTCGAACTTCTTCAGGAATACTTTTTTCCAATTCGATCGAGCATGGTGAAGCTTGATCAAATTATCTTATTGATTCCGTACCCAATAGGTGGGGTATGTGAAATCCGATTTTGAGATTCCATTGTTTCTATTGAAGCTAACAAGATGAGCTTTAACATCGACTTGAAATTTTCATAGCTTTGTATACTATAAACCTTTGAACTTTTGTCAGTGGCATTTTCATTTTATTAAGTTCTTTATTTAAGGGTAGGAAGAAAGAGTGCAGCTTACAGCTTTGTAGAAGGAGGTATGTATTAAGTATGTGGTCCGTGCGCTGTCAGTTGCAAGCCCAGGGGATCGGGTCTGGGGTAGATTAGCGGATGTCTCCACTATCTTGCGGGTCTTCCCGAGGCAAGGTTTGAACCTTTTCTGTTAGTACCCATTAAACTTCAGCCCTAACGGGTACTACCCACTCCGAAGAAGCAGGTCCGAAGTACGGAATACGGAATACGGATATCGGGTATCGGATATCAAATAAGGTATCGTCGTCTATACGTAATTCCTTCCGATAACAGCCACAGATCGGGAGGCTGTTGCTGCAAGCCATTGGATCCTGCAGATTCGTAGCCAACGAATAAGACGTAGAGATCATTATCGTGAGGTATTATAGGCGCTTGTCGCGCTCTTACGAAAGAGCGGGGCCGGCTATAATCTAGTCAGTAGGAAATAGGAGAGAAGAGGGGTATTTTGATGTCAAGTCAGGAGCCCTTTGCGCTGAACACAAGCTGTAGTGCCAATAGGGACCAGTAAATAAGGGTTACCAAACTAACAGTATTTTAATAAAATATTCAGATTTGCTTGGTAAGAGGTAGGTAGTTAAATAGCTTGAGGTATCATAAGGAAGAAGCCATGATGGCGTGAGTTGTTGTTACCGGAAGGCCGAAGTTGGAAGGTGCCTGTAAAATAATTAACTACCTAGAAAAAAGCCAAAAGTTAGAGGAGAGCGGGTAAGGGCGTAATAGGTAATCTACCTTTTATATGGATCCTGCTCAATATTACGGTTAACCCCTTTCTTTCCCAACTTCCAAGTTATAATGCAATCGTTGCCATTAAGTACCTACTCCTCTCCCTAGTTCTATCTAGCCCCTATACGTTATTTAGTAGCATGTCTATGATATTTATAAGAGTGAGCTCGCATCTAGGGGAACTTACACCCATGAATTATAAGGGAACATAATAACAATCGTCAAAAAGAAATTTCGCGCGACCGTGCAGGTCTTTATATTGGAACACTAGGTACACTACCCCCTGCTAGCGACTAGGAATAGCTCGGTACGAGAATACAAGCTTAAACCCCCGAGTTAATTATCTCCTATTCTAAGTGTACAAACAGTATGTGTAAAGCTTCCAATACCGGTCTACTCTTAACTAGATTATACAACGTTTCATCGATTCCTCGATGACCTTATAGCTACTACACTGTTATTATTAAACAAGTTCGAGAGGGAATGATGTGGGCGTTAAGCTGACCAATATTAGAACTACAAGCTACTTTATCGGCGAATGCTGCCAGTTTTCCCTTATCAATGTTAAGAATGTACAAAGCAAGCAGGTATCCGAGTCGAGATAGTTAATACGAGGATCAACATACTGGTTCTGCCGCGATGCGAACCTGGCATTGGAAGAACAGCTATATTGTAGTGAATAATTGAAAATTTACACTATACGGGACCGCAAGTATTCTTATAAGCAGCCCTTCGTTTTCTCCTCAAGCTATAGACTTGGATTCAACTAGGTACCTACCTACTATCGAGTAGCTCGAGCCTCTAAATTCTAAGGTATACATCTATTTAGTTGTAGAGATATATACTCGTAGATTCCTTCCATGTTAGAGCTATTGGTGCTTAAGGCTAATGTAACAAAGTAGACGGATGTTGGTTCCATCTAATATTCAGGTAGTACTACTGTGCATTATCTGCTGCGGGGGGGAAGCCATCGTACATGTAGCAGTTAACCGATAGAGACTAGGGCGCGACTCTAATATGTCCGTCACGGATGTGAGTCTATTCTAACGAATCACGCCGCCCCCTTTGTCGGGCCAATCTCTCCGACCCTTAATCTGCCGAGTTCGCAGAGCCGCAACAGCTACTTCACCCAAGTCTCAGGCGATAGGATGAGGCCTTGTCCTTTTCCCTTTTGTCGGGAAGGATACGATGCATATATTGCGGATATTTATTGGAGTCTCGCACCCACTAGGTATCATGTTCCTATCGACGAATCTAACGCTCCTTTCCTTCACAATCCTTCACTATGACTACACCGGCTCGCTTAGAAGAGGGCCATGAAATGGCTGGGATCCCCGGTAGTAGCGGTGCTAATGAAGACCCTATAGAGCCTGGTGCGATTTGAACATCCCTTATCATCCTATCCGCGGCTAATTATTCTTCTAGGAACCGGGAACAATAGCACCGGGTATGAAAACTTTCGTGGAGACTCTGACCTTAGTGAGTAAACCTATACAAATAACTGGCTAACAGTTTAGCTAATCGACATGATAGAAAAGGGAGTGCCTATAGGTTGGCCTTCTATTGCCGCTACTCAGTTATACTATCCCAACCTCAGTATTCATCGACGCTTCTCCTATCTTCTACATCGGGTCCTCATAGACCAAGAAACGAAGCTCGCGTACCTCGAGAATAAACTGCAAGAGCTCGATAAAGAAGACGAGGGAAGCAATGACGCCAGATTGAAAAAGCTTTCTTTTGATCCGGAAACGTTACTCTCCAGCCACACTCCATCCCAGGCTCAATATCAGCCTACTTCTATCCAAACAGCCCCGACAACATCGAAAGTAGTAAAGGAGAAACAAAGGAAGACGAACGAGGATAACAGATGGGAAGACAAAGACCTCATCCTGGAATCCATATTGCCGAGATTGAAGAATTATGGTTAGTACTATACCCGTGAGTTGGTCCTGGATAAATAATAAAAAATAGTGGCTTGAAGACGAGCTACTCCTGCTCGGTAAAGAAATGCAGAAGCTGCCACGTATCTCTAGAAGAGAGCATAGGGCATTCTACGACGAGGTGAAGAACCATCATCCGCTTCTTGATGCACCAGCATACCAGTTCCTATATTCGAATGATGACTTCGTCACTACAGTCACCGACCGTGTGCATCAGTACTTTGAAACATTGATATACGGGGAAACACCCATCAAAAGAGTGAGTACTTATCTTCTATACACTTGTCAACTTCTACAAGTATTCTACTACTGAATGACCCTTTTTTTACTAATATTCAATTAACATTTCCAAGCTCATCAAGAGGATCTTTGGGCGAACCGACGAAAACTCCAACCTCGAAATTGACAACCGGATTTTGGTCGTTTTCCTCAAGGTCGTGGTAGCATTCATGAGCGGAGTACTACTGCTTTTTCCAGTTGCTATACTCCTTCTCGTGAACCTATCTAGGGCCGAATCCTTTATAGTCGTGGTCGCTTTCAACTTTGCATTTGTAGCTGCCTTGGCCTATTTGAACTGCAATTGGGACACCATCCTCGTCGGCCTAAGCGCATATATGGCGGTACTCGTCACGTTCCTATCGAACCTTGAGCAGGGAAAGACTTGACCCCTTTTTTGAATGACGCTGAGGCAGATACTTGATAAATGAGACATTGTTTTAAAGAAAGTTAATTTCTGAATTTTACATTACACCTTTCCTACTATACTACTGCCTATGTTCCTTCGTGATACATATACGACGCATTAGATCTTTATATACATTTATTATATTTCTTGATTCGGCATATGGTACAGGGCATGGATTCCTGTTGAAAGTAGTTTCGATGTTAAGACCTATATAAAGTGTTTGTTAGCTGTATGTAGCGGTTTCGTGTTAAGGAGGTAGAACTGCTTCCTACCAAATACGTAATCTGGGCCAATCACATATTACACATGGGCTTCCCCTTACCCTAAGTACGTATAGATATTGATCTAATTTCACCAAAATACTAGCTTTACAAGCGGCTTTAGACGCCTACTCAATCCGTATACCTAGCTTTTATCGCGTAATCTGAGAAACTCACAACTATTTCTATAAAGTGTCGGGTGTAGAATACCCTATAAGGAAAGGGGAATTACTTGAAAATGGTAGAGTTAATGGCATGACGTTGAAATTCGGAGGTTTTTACTGGTCAGCGTTCAGCTTAGATAACATAGGCTTAACAAGCGCAACGCGTAAAGGTGTACCGTTCCCCTTAGACATGATTGGTGCTGACGCCTAGGAGACACCAGGTCGTGCATGGTTTGACCGGTCTCTACTTTCTTCTACGTACCCAGGACTTCGGTTCTTGAAATTAGCTAGAGTACACGTGTCTCGCTTTTATATTTATAGAATTAGTGCTAACTTCTTTGAGCTCACCACCTCAACGCGTTACCGTAGCAGCTCGAGCATAACGTGTCAGGCTTATCTACCTCGCGACAGGGACTTAGCTATTCCACATGATGTATCCCAAACAATGATTGACCCTCATTCTACCTAGGTATTTGGTACCCTATCCACATATAATCATATTACTCAACTAATATATACATAGCCTACTGCCTGATGCTCTGCCGAGGGCCTCATCTTTTTGATAAGAGGTAGCCAGCCTCGTCAAAAATATCTTGCTGTATCCTGGGGTTTGGTAAGATGTTCTTCGAAGCGCTACGCTAGACAGCTAATCAACGGTACAGTGAATGCTATATAGGTACTACGGAAAGGTTCTCTACCTTAGGTAAGTTAAGATATGCAGGTTGGTATATGCACCTAGCTAAGTAAGGAATGTAAATTAAGGCAATGGACATGTAAAATAGGACGTCTAGGTTAAGTACCTAGGTATAGGTATAGGTACATAGATATTTCTAGGCTACCCTACATTATTTAACTGATCCTCAACCTTTTCTTCCAGCAACGGGGGTCCAGGTAAGTCATGCAGTGCGCACAGACGAGGCTGTCAGTCCATCATCGATACCTAAGCAGTGCCCGTCAGTTCGATTCCTTACTGTGGGAGTACTTAGGTGCTAATCGACATAATCTTACTATATTGCCAAATATGCTACTGTCTCTACATGCAGCATACTAGGTAGGTAGGTATCTGCATGTCAATAATAGCAACCACATGATACGTGTACATACATCTCAGTTGGCCAAGTAACCAGGCCGCATATGTGGAGCAAGAAATTTTTCATGTAGCAGAAAGAATGGTTTTCAAGAAATTGTTGGGGCTGAGCTCTGGGCTAGCATAGATGGGATTTCGCCCGGCTATGATGTAGGTACCGTACTTCTTCGCATGCTACATAGCTACATCCCCGCCGACATGCCCGATGTACCAGAACAAGTAATAGTAAATTGTATCTTACCTAACTTACCTATTCTAATTCATTCTTTACGCTGGTTCGGCAAGTGGAGTTCCCGTTTGATGACATGCCTACTCCGGAGCTCTCTTCCCGTAGATACGGTGTGTCTGTTGCGCAGGTGAGAGTTATGATTACTGGCTACATTATTGGCTACAGTCATGTAACTATGTTATTAGTTAGTATATATCGCTCTCTCTACCGTAATCTGCAAAATTATTGAATGAGTTTCGGAGTCGCTTGATCGCGAAGCTCGGGCGGTGGCTCGACGAAAGGGGATGTGAAATGCAAGAATGCCGAATTTCATTTTTCCCAAGAGTATCAATTATTCGCGAGACTGTAGCCTACCTAGGTTACGTAGGTAGGTAGGTACCTAAGGGTTATTTCGCTAGATTCACTCAATGAATTTCTAATACAACGGAAGTCTGGTTTAATGTTACTACTACTTGTACACAATTTTTTGGGCATAACGGAGACGATACGGCATGCCTCCTTTTTACTGCGTTTTGGCGATTGGGTTTCATTTCTTTACAGCAATTGGTGCCATATCATTACGCGAACATTGATAGCATTTATTGATTGGGTAATTCTAGTCTATCTATGTAACTGCGGTACATTTCAATTTCAATAGTGCAAGGATGGGCTCTTGGTGTTTTCTCTATATAGGTACGTAGGGGCGGTATCTCCCTGTTCTAGTAAAGCAATTATATACGCCGTCTAACCCCCAGTATAAGCTTCCGTATGTCTCAATCCTGAAGTCCGGTCGTTGACCCTTCTTCGTAGTCCTTTAAACTCCCATTCGTGAGTTTTCGGCTAACAGGGGGCGGGGATCGGAAAGAGGGGAATGAGTCTGTTCCGCGATATAGATATCCGTTCCCCTCGAGCGGCCGCGTCTTTGCTTCGGTCTATGACTGTCTTTTCTGCCCTTCCGCGGCCAGTTGAAAAGCCCACACATGGTATCGTGCATAGAAAGAATGTTGATCGGCGATGTCAACTTGTTGACTTGACCTCATAAGAAGGATTCTGAGAATTGTAATTTGGTTGGGCTTCAGAACGAATGCTGATCTAACGAGTAGTGTAAGTAATTGACGTAGAACATTGAGTAATGAGAGACTACGGCAATAAGACAAGGGCATTACCTCGCATCAGGGACTCTTTGCTCAGTAGTCTTCCTTGACTAGTCAATATTGTAGAATCCGGAAAGGAGGGAGAGTTATAGGTTTCTATGCGCATTTGTTGGCAACAAGGATGCGGAACTATTTTATAGTCGAGGAAGTAAACCCTAGGGCTTCAAATGAGGACACAATTGCTTATTGTCCAAGAGACTCCTAACGTACTGAAGCAAAGGCCATTTGAGATAACATGGATGCAAGGGTGCATTGGTGGAGATAGTTGAATGGCCGTGCACATTTGACGTAGTGACTGCGGCTCTGTTAGCCATGATCACAGGGTTAGGCAAATCATGGTTGAGGTATTCATGGTTGAGGTATTCATGCGCGCTGCAATTCCGCGCCAGTGAAAATGAAGCCTTAGAAAGAATACGGAAGAATACATGGTCAATAGACTACATGTATTGAGTACTGTTCCTGTATTCGAGCTTGATGAGAATAGACTAATGGAGCATGCTGGATATTCTTTCGGTGTTAGGAGTCCCTGTCCCTGTCGATGCGAACTGGTCTAGTATCGGCAGAGGTAAGCAATTAGTAGTGACAGCGCGTTGCTTTAAGATTTGTTGACCCACTGAGGGAACAAGGGGGTAGAACTGACAGCAGTGTCCCGAGACACTGCCAGGAATATGATCCTAGCGCCAATCTGTCATATCTAGCTGGGTACCTGGTAGGTAGAATTTGTCTTTCAGTACGTGTCAACATCTGTAATCTGTAGTGTAGTGTGCGAACTTGAATACCTAGTCCCTCTTTCAGATTCTGTTGCCTCATAAGAGTTAAGATGATGAAAGTGGAAAGATTTGGTCATTGAACAGATTCCAAAATTCTCCGTCGGCTCGTTAATCTTGTCATCGCACAGCCCCGCGGTAAGCCATAAGCTCAGGCTTCTTCACCCCCTTTTCTTTTCCTCTTTTTTTCTTTTTCTTCCGTCGGTTTTATATTGCAAACCAGGCCGTCCATCAGGTCGCATGAGTGGCAAATAAACCTCTTGGTTTATTAAAAATATCCCGTTTGGTTGATATGACATTCGATCTCCGACGGCGATTCGAACTCCTAACAATACCTCCGCGATGTCCCTAATCGATGTTTCTTGTCGAATCAGCGTGCCACATGATTACCTCTAAGATACCTAAGTCACATATGTGGCTGTAGGTTTGCTATAGGTGGCGAAGTTGGTGTCTTTCAAGCCTCGATAGTTGCTTTCAAACTGCTTCCATTCTCCCTTTCCTACTCTTATATTCACGTCTCTCGGCGAAGATGACAAGGTCCGGCTGGAGACCAATTAGAGATCAATCCTTTAAAGACAGAGTAAGAATCCAAAGCTGTGGTTGTCGGAAATTGGCAATAGCTGGTCGGTACGGACCGATTTGGGTGGACCCGAGCATCAACACCATGCCGGAAAAAAGGGGGGCATGAAGCGGCCACGATAATTCAAATGCGGGGTGCAGAGAACCGTTCATCCGAAACCCGGGCTTGGTTAAAAGTCTGGCGATATACCCGAACGACAGCCCCCATAGACTGTCACCTGCGCTGCACGTACGTTTGCCAATCATACGTCCCTCTTGAGAGTGTTGGCGCCACGCGCATGACCTCCCATCCTTTTTCCAACATTCCTCATCCAGCCAGATGCATATAGTCTAACCAATCTCGAAGGAAAGGCTAAGAGCTTTATATGAATCTCTTCGTCACCGAACCAATACTCGCTGCGTAAGCGGAAGAGACAGTCAGTATATCTCGAAGCCAGTTTAATAATAATGAACTTTGGTCTTACTGCTTTTATAATGCTCATGAGCTATCTTTCGTCATATTGAGACTGGCCAGAAGAGGGCGAGACTTGGTGAAAGATGGGCCGGCTGCATTCTAGTCTGGCCATGGTGCTTTTTAAGAATGACATTCAGGTATAAAAAAAACCTATGTCAAAGTGGGAGTGGGAGATGATTAGGTCTTATTCCAATCTAGATACTCGGAAGGAAGGCGGGGCGAGTAATTTCTATCGAGTAGGATGCTCAACCATTGTGTATCATAATGTCTCACTGCAAGCAAGATGCCCCCTGTGACATGCATCCAATTTCATCCACTTTTCTCTTCTCGTGGTCTGTCGTTGGTACCATCATCGGAGTTCTATCGGCCGTTTCGTGATTGGACGGGGTTAATACGAATAAGCTATAGTAATAAAGGAATTCCTATTCGCCTAGGAGGTATTTACTACTTCGAGTCTCTTGGATTTCAATAACATTATACTTTTGATCGCATTTATTTCTCCTGCGCGTTATAGTCGATAAATCCGCGATTGTGTATCCTGACATACCTCATTGGCTTGAGATTCGAGACACTTCGGTATCCCTCGAAGCCACGTTGGAAATTCCCGTTTATACCGAAGTGCCCCCCGCAGGAGAGATGGCATGACTACGTTCTATTAATATCATTCATATTCGTGGAATATACTTAGTTATCGGTAATTCAAACAAGGCATAGCAGCTTCCTATGTAAAAGGTCATCACTCGCTAGCTATAGGGTCGATCTAAAGCGTAATAGGTGAACTTCCTATTACGCTACAGATCAACGACTATGTTCTTTGGAATCAAAGACACAGTCGTGGGTATTGATGGCAAGCTCAAGAGTAAAAGCCCCACCAATACTGACGAAACTAACTCATATTTATCATATAGGGGTAAGCTTATTATACTTAAACTGACGACTTTTAGGAAAAGAGCCTATTTTACCCCTTATTAGTAGCAGCTTCTATATCAAGTAGATCTCGGGAGAGCCTCGAGCGATACGGTATCTACCTACCTAGGTATGTGGGTACTTTGATGCATAAAACTCAGCCTCTTGATCTTCTGTCCGTCATATCCATAGCCACGATGTTGGTGATCGAGGCTCTCAGCCGTATTCATAAGAACATACGTCAATGAGACGCTTGGCTTTGATGCCTAACGCTAGAAACGGTAATGAAGCCATCTAGGTTCTACGCCAGGTGGCTTCCATGTTGCCCTCGTACCAGAAGCCTGGTTTACACGATTCCAATGTCGTCTCTAAGAGGTTGCCTTGATAGGTATTCTAATCCACACAAGATCGGTATCAACCGATAATTTGCCAAGAGGAGTAGATGTTAGCTCAAACATTTTAAAGTGCTGCACTCCTTCGGTAGCACGCTATATTTAATTGGTTCATCCTCAGTTTACCGCTTTTATGTTAAGAACTAAGCACCTTCAAGTGAAGGATTTAGCGTAGTATATTGACGAGGCTTCCACCGATATCTGCCCCCATCCTCACCGCTCTATCGCGACTCGCACTTTAAGCGCACGGCGTTGAAGCATCTTCTCTTGAGATCAAATCGCGCTACACCCTCCTCGAGATACTGGCCAATTTTCCAACCACTTCGGGGGCTAAATTGGGTATTCAAGCATACTGGAAAGTTGTGAATGCTCTTACCAGTGCCCGTATCGACGATCGATGTGACGATATGTCCAACAGGGCCAGGCGGTGAACCTCATGCCCCGCATATAAATATCAGAGAGAGCAACGCAATGTTGGCAGAAGTATGGAATACAGAGCAGCATATCTAAGTAATTTTCCTCATCATGGCCAACTCATCCGGTGCTGTCCCGGCACTTCCGCTGAACAACATGCAATTGCACAACAACATTGCCCGCCAAACTCCAACTACCCCTTATAAGCCGCAATTACATCCTAGCATATACGAAAGGATTTCAACTGGTATGTTGACATGTATAACCTGATATTAGCCACATATTTCTTTAATTAATCCCTACGTCTTAGCCAAGAGAGCAGCCGGCTTAGAGGAGGATAGCTTCTATACTGACGAAGACGTCGGTAAGTCGAATTGCCAGATGCGATTTCCCGTGGGAAAACTCCCCAATAACAGGATTAAGTGAACTACTCGCCTCGTGGCTGGCCTAAAATAGCGTCGCAGCAGATGTATTTTGGCAACCATAACAGCCATAGGGGCTTCGACCCCCTGACGCACTACCTACTCACGTCTTACGAACTCAAACTCTCCGTCATCGAGAATGAACTAGACGAGATGAACTGCGAGGACGCAAAAGAGGGTAGAGAACCCCTATGGTCGCTTCCTTTTGACCGCGAGCAATTCATCACCCGCTGCCGTCAAGGGGTCGGACATCTGCCGCTACAATGTCCAGGGTCAAACTTGGACGAGATCGATCGTGCGACGCAGAGGGAGAATATGATCACGACCGCTAGGATTCTACTTAAAGAATACCGTAAGTTCCAGAATAGAAGTTAAAAGCGCACAGGCTAATGCTGGATGTCTCCTCAGTACAGCTTCTTCTCCTGCAGCGCGATATCAAGAGGCTTCCGCGCGTGTCTCGGAGCGCACACGAGGCGCACTTTGAAATTGCACGGCGTCACCAGGGACTTAATGATCAGGCGTGCGCATTTATGCGCTACATCGACGATTTCGTTAGTACCGAGCCAGATGCGTTTTTCCGGCGGTTCGAATCCTTGCTGTACTATGTAAACGATCGCTGGTTCATGGCAAGTTGGATTCATCAACTTCCCCTTTCCCCTTTCCCACTTCCCTTCCATTGGTCCCTCTCAATTCACCTGCCAAACTAACATCTTCCTAAAGAAACCACTGAAGCACCTCTGTCGCTTTTTCAGCCGATCTACTCTTCCTTCCTCCATCCCTCCTGACGGCCCACACATGACCTATAGCTTGCGGCCCTTCCGGTTATTACTCAAGGTTTTTCTTGCAGTTGGCAGTCTGTCGCTCTCGCTGTTGCCCATCGCAATCCTATTTTTAGAGACGAACTGGTCGCGCGCGGAATACTTGACCGTTGTTACCGTCTCCTCCGCCGTTTTCGCCCTTGTCATACTGGCCTTTGAACCCCGTACGGTGCCTATGCTCGTCAGCCTTAATGCATACTTCGCTGTGCTCTCCACGTTCCTATCGAACTTACCTATGTAGTTACGATATGACCTAAGAAGATGGCGTTGCTATGGGGAGGGGCTAAGCTGTAGTCTGCTACCGGAGGATGATTATATATATGATGAGGGGATGACGGAAATGAGTGGTGAAAAGGGGTTGCGGCAAGAAAGGTAAGATAAGCATGATAGTATCAATGACCAAAGGCTTACTGTTATGCAATATAGGTTTTTAGGTCGGAAGAGTTTGATAGTTTTTACGAATATATAGTATAATGTAGCGAACTTGAGGTCATCTTGAGATGAACCTTTATGATCTTTTTATTTCTAGTTTCTAGTTATTCTTCCACATAGAATATTTTTCACTCTCGTTATGCATAATCAAAGACTGCTTGACTAGTCGTTATCGCGCACTACCCGTAGATAGTGTTCATAATAAGAGCAGTTGTCCATGTGCGAGCATCTATTCCCTCTCACTGCGAGATAAAGTTGAATGTAGCTTGTGCTGCTTCATTAGAGAGATGCAAACAAGCTCCAGAAGCACCAGCCCTAACATTGTAAGCCACACACTCCTGAAGGCTTCCATAAATGACGCTATGACACCGTCATACCAGCCGTCGGGGAGGTGCTTCAACTCGTCTAAATCATCTCTGATTCTATGAATCTCTTCCGCTGCCCCAGGAAGGTCGCCAAATCGCCCCCATAGCTCAGTTTTAAGTACATTTTGATAGATGGTCGATGCGATCGTAACGCCGACCGTTCCACCGACAGATCGAAATGCATAAGTAGCAGAAGTAACTACAGCTTGGTGGGAGTGGTCTACGGCTGCTAAACAAGCTAGAAGCGTGATAGTAAGCATGCCCCCCTGGCCGGAACCAAGAAGTAGGAACGCAATCATTAGGTGCCATCCTGGAGAATCCTCATCGAGAGTTGTGAGGATGACGACAGAGGCGACCTGAAGTAATACAGCAAAGATACCTAAGGCCAACTATTGCAAGATTAGCCTTCTACGGAAACCCCAAAAATTGCTTACTATGAACGTCTCGATTTGGAATAGGGGCAGATATTAGATAGGTAACTCGAGATGCCTCGCCACATCTAAAAAGGGAATGATGCATACGATGCCAAATCTAGAATTGATTAAGAACTTACTGCTCCACGGTTAGTATATACACCGAATAAAGCACTAGACACAAGACAAATCGGAAGTAAATATGAGGAGCAGGGACTCGAAGCCCCAGGACAGAGTTCTCTCATACGTACCATATCGACCGGTTTTCCTCATAATAAGCCCGCTTCCAATAGAACAGATAGATATTCCGATAGGTGCAAAAAGGATTACTACCCCAGAATCTGTCGAAGAACTTCCGCGAGACTGCATGTAAAGAGGGACGTAAAAGAGAGCCATCATGTTTACCATCATGCCTAGCAAGTTCGTCATACAGGCCGTGAAGACTGTCCGATCTAGAAGGAGGCGCACCGGGATGATCGGTTGTTTAGCACGGGATTCCCAGAGAATGAAAGCAACAAATGCTACTAGCGAAAGCGGCAAAGTCGTTAGCGGTAGGGGATGGATCCATGGGACCAAATTTCCACCGGCGTTCAAGCCAAGCAGCAGCAGGACCAGAAATACAATGAGTGATAATACACCTGTGAAGTCGATGCGAGCTAGGTATGACTTCTCTGATACTTTGGGTGGTATGCGGACAAGATAGGCAACTAGACACGCCGAGACTAGAACAAGTGGAACCTGGATCAAGAAAGCCAGACGCCAGCCCCAAGAAGAGTTGTCATTGACTATACCACCAAAGACACCACCTAGCATGGCCCCGGCTCCGTAGCATATATTACCGATCCCCTGGATGACTCCTCGGTTCCGTAGGGGGACGAGATCGGTACCCAGAAAAGTGGATATGGACATAAGGCCGCCGCCTCCAATGCCAGCGACAACTCGTCCAAAGATCATACCGCTTTGGTCCTGCGCAAGACCACAAATTAAATTGCCGAGAGCAAAGAAGATATTGCTAAACACGAGGCCGGGGCCTCTCCCGAAGATATCCGTCAGCCTTCCGGAGATGGGTTGGCAGGCAGCATTTGAGATGAAGTAAGCAGTTGCGAGCCATGATAATAAACTCAAGGATCGGAACTCGCTAGAAATGGGTGCTGAGAGGGTGGCAATGATGGTAGAATCAATGGCGCCGAGAAACACGCCTATCCAGCAGGTAAAGAGGATGAGCCACAGCTTAAATCCTTTCACTTCTTCGACGATGATGATCTGCTCTTCGTCGTTGTTGATTAGCGGAGACTCCTCAGCCGAGACATCATTCTCATTCTGATTTCTCAGTAACGGCGTCCTTTCGTCGCTCTGGACGAGGGAGTTTCCGTTCACCGAGACTGGCGGAACGTGCGGAACGTGCTGAACGGAGATGTCATCAGCCGCCATGACAGCAACCCTTTCGCATAGGTCAGAGCGGCACTTCCACTTATTCAGAGGATGTGTCGATTAGGTATTTAAAAGTCGTTGGACTTGCTGTTATAAGAATTGAATAAATCGCATCTATTAGCAATGAGGGGGAACGAGGTTAAAGCTAGACGGCGGTGAGATGTTTACTCTGATTACTCAAAACGGGAATATCAAGATGGCGAAATCGACTCGGATTTAAGAGTTATGCTATATTATGCTATAGTCGGGATTTAGATGCTAAATAGCTCAATACCTTCCCCGAGCATCGGCAACTAGCGTGCGCCTTATCGGGAACTTGCACCCAGGTAGCTATGGTGCATTTTGACACGGATGCTAACAAGGTAACTGTATACAATGCAGGTTTTAGTTCAATAGACAGTTATATATATTTATTTTGTATACCTGTATTAGGGAGATTTAACTGTAAAACTTAACATGCATCAATACTTCAAAAGTTAGAAGTAACGTAACTAGATTACATAGGTACCTAGGTACCTAACCTAGGTAGGTAGGTACATAGGTACTTCGTACTTAACTCTTGATGTTAAACGCTAGAGAATTTAGACCCAAACTCGGCCAGTTGCTCGGGAAACGATGGGATGCGCACATCGGACGGTACCTAGGTACTTAAAGGATCAAAGACGTAGCAACTATCCATTACGGAAAGAAACAAAAGTGTATAAAATGATTACAAACGATTGATAATAGGGAGGGAAGCGAATGTCTAAGTGAACTGTCTAAGGACGCTATAGGCATTAGTAACACAATCGGTTAGATTTAGATACGTATCAATATATTAAAACAATTCTTTGAGTTTCTGATAGAGTACTTCTCTCACCTACAGTTAGCTCTCTACAAGGGAGTTGCCGACATCACCTGCTGCATTCTCTAAAGGGTCGAGAGTAAGGAAAATATTGCTATCGTAAAGAAGAAGCGTATAGAGAACCAAATAACTATTGTAAGTGAAACGCAAAAAGAATAAGTATAAGGTCGTAACTTTGACGTAACTCGCTTCCCTAACACTTTCCGCACAGATATTTCACCTCATTGCCCGGAAAGATATAGCGGTAACTATCCGACTTGCCGAGGCCACAAAATGCGATACTTCGTCGATAAAGACTCTCGCTGTTATGACTATAACATTCCTTCTAGCTACGTTCTTAGCTACCGTATTTGCTCTGCTAATCCTAACTGTGGATTAGCCTCTTGGATTCAAAACCTATCGTGCTGTCTCGATTCCAACCACTGTTACTATTCTGCTTGGCTGGGCTGCTATCACGCAACGTCAAGTCATATAGGACTTGTTGCAAGACGTTAGATTTGGAAGGGAGTCACAGACGAAATGTGACCTCACAGATATTCTAACATCGTTAGTTAAAGTTGCCATGTCTACCTCCCTCAGGCCTGGCTCAGGCTGCTCACCTGCTCGCTCTCCTGAGTATATAGTGACTTAGTTCCTCTACATTTGGTAGCCATCTTCAGCTTAGGATAACTAGCCTCTCCCTTTTCCATACGTTAGGGAGAACGATGTCATTAACTTATTTCACACAGCTGTCAATGAACTCTAGATCTTGTCGCGATCCCTACATACAGGGTAAGGGTTATGACCGGGCTCGTTTTTACCCCTGAATCCGTTTGTTTACTTTGGACTGTGGTTGCCTAACTTTGTCATTAGCTCATGTTCGACCCACCTGCGACGAATGGCTTATACTAAAAGTGTGGGCAGAGCTGAAATATCGATGATGATAACCTAAAGCAAGAGGTCTCATTTGCGGGATAACTGATGCTTGAGGTTGTGTTATAGAAGGTTCCATGGAAGCCCAAGTCCCCGAGATGCCAGCCAAGTTGTCCCAGATAAGTAGGGTTGCCCAGTACGTGCCTTCCTTGGATTTGACAGAGCGCTTGAGATCACGGTGTTATAATACCATGAACCGCTAGATTGTCTAGCTATTCCGTTGTGATAGATTTGTTTTCCTCTGGAAGAACATGAGTGTCGGTTTAGAATGCTCGAAATGACTATGTCGTCTGCTATCTGTCTGCTGTCTGCCTTGGCTTGTCTTCGTCTCTCGCCGGCGGCGTCTCTAGTCCTCCAAGTCTGGGAAAGCCAGATGAGAACTGCCAACATTGGGTAGTATTCAAAAAGAATGTCTAAGGAAAGAGCTTCTTGGACGTTTTGTAACCGAGAGAAGTGAAGGAAGGTGGGTTGAACTGTAACCTAACGTTCGTACGCTTCCTGGACCCCCCCTATTCCTTCCTAAACAATGCTGTATCCCAATACTCCTGTAGACTTTAGGAAAGAATGGCTACTGAAATGATACCATGCGTCCTTCCTCTATGCTCAAAGAGTTCTGTACGTGTCTTCTGCTTGTCCTTTTCTTGTCTTGTCCTCGTCCTCTCTCTTCCTGTTCCCTTCTCCTGGTTTTCTAGACTCGATGGTACTGAGTTTTCGCTGTTTTGAGAACCGATTTTCGCTGTTTTTGCCTTGTCTTTTCTCTTCTGCCGTTTCTGTCACCAAGATGGCAGATAACCATGAGCATTACTGGTCGGTTTGGGTGCAACCAGCCATAACCTTCGCCGTCGGCTTCATCACCGCCGTGGTGGCCTACCTGGCGTTCCGCTCGTATGTATAACCTACCTTACCTTACTTAGAAGCTTGTGCTCAAAGGCTTTCGGGGTAACTAATCTTAAATCAACAGGCCCATTATAGGCAACATTGCCGACGGTGTGGTAAACCTCACTAATGCCTCAAACAATGCGGCCGATACAATTGCCGCCGCTGTAACTACCGCCGCCGATACAATTGCCGCCGCTATTACGAAGGCCAGCAACGATAACGCCGAGGCCATCGCCGCCGGAAACGCCGCCCTCCGGGACGAGCTGCGTAGCCTCCGGGCCGAACTCGAAATTGGCCGGTGCCGGTGCCGATGCCCTCCCGCCGCTGCCGCTACAGCCGCTACTATGACCTCCTCTTCTCCTCCTCCGGCCGCAACCCTCCCGCCCGCTCCCGCCCGCTCCCACTCGGCCGCCGGTCCGAGCTACATGGCGCCGACACAAGCGTCAGCGCGTCGGGGCCGCAGCTCCGATTAGAGAGATTGTCGTGGGAGAAAACTCACGTAAATAAAACCCGCCAGAGGCGGAGCTAGTCGCATACCTGACATCGGCACCCGGTCGGGGGGCGAGACCCTGACCGGGCCGGGCATCGGTCTGACGGGTCAGACGCTCATCATCAGCGTACCCTGCATTGCACACTCATGTGCATTAACCGGTGGGTCCGCCATCATCATATTTGGCGGATAGCAAAGATCAGACCTTCACTTGGTTCTCTCAAGAGATCAGTGTAAACCCGATGTCAGTGTATCGCAGCAATGCGCTGCAAGTGACACCAGCCAGCAGCTGAGTTCTCTCGGCAGCTACTCCTGCTCGGTACCCAATACTTTTGGCAGCGAACCCTCTTTTCGACTGCTCTTTAACAGCAACGGTGCTCCCTCTGAGCACCAAGCTCGAGCGGCGGCAAACCCTCTCCCAATTGACAGCTTCCCCTCCCAGAAACCAATCCTCTCTGGGTGAACAGCGTCTGTTGATAGTCACTCCGTCGCGATAGCTATCCCTCATAACGGTTTCTCCCTCTCAGCGGTCAACGTTCTTGGCGGCTACTCCCTTTTGGCAGCAAACATCCCCATTGGCAGCCAATCACGACAAAAACTCCCTCTTGGCGGCAATCATTCTTGGGAGCGATTACTCTAGCAAATAGTCTCTTTTGGCAGCTATTCTCTTTTGGCAACAGTGCTCTCTCAAAACACGAATTTCGGGCGGTGGTTAATCCTCTTAGAAGTCACATCTCTTGGCGTACGACCATCTTGGCAGCTACTCCATTTTCGACAACCAAGCCCTCTTAACAGCGAGACCTCTCTTGGCAAACAACCTCTCTTGCGAGCTCCTCCTTCTCGGCAATCAATCTTCTCGGCAGACAACCCCCCTATGTACTCAAGATCTCTTCTCAGTTAGAAGCATCTCCCGCTCAACAACTAACCTTTCACCTTTTCACCGGTCAACCCTCTCCTTGCAATAGTCTCTCGTTATGGCAGTCACTCTTTCTCGGCGGTGACTCTCTCGGTAGCCCTCTCTCTGGGTAAAAAAGCCTCTCGGGAATAAAATATTTCTTAGTAACTAACCTATTTATGTGAGTCTCCTCTGTCGTCGGATAATCTCTCTTGTTGAGTAACTTTCTTAGTACTCACTCGGCCAACATAGCCATACGGCTGTCCTAGTAGTAATTATTGTTGCTGATCGTAATTTTAGCCTTTAGAGTCGCACGACGTAAGCAATACCTTGCTTATGGGCAGGCATTCGGGCACAGCAACGCTACGGTAGGTGGCGTGACCGAGGAGTGCGCGGTCAAGGGTAGTACTTCGAAGTGAACGGGCGCGCAGACGAGAATGACGCTGAATATGGGCAAAGGTGACCTGTAGTTAGAAATAGCGATGTAAGTACTGTTATTAGGTATTGAAGTAGGAATCAGGGTTTGGGGTACCGGATTGACCTAGTTAAGGATGTTATTAGTTTCGTGTACTGATAGGAGCCGTTACCTTATCAGGTACTCTTATCTATTCGATCTTGAGCTACCTTAGACGTAAGCTTTACGCTCGATCTGTCTCTACAGCTATCGTATCATAGATCCTCTACACGGGACTACATACACCCTATACGTCTCGTCGAGCACTACAACCAAAACCTCGGCAGTCACGACTCCAGAGTAACTACTATACCGACTCCTTAATAAAAAAAGCTTTATAGATCAGAAGGCGATATCCTTATCCCGCATGTCGTAGATATCAATCGTATATTCAGCGAAAGCCGAAAGAGCTAGACGCAAATTATCAACTCTGTACAGGCTTGCGCCCCAGGCGCCTGGTCGGCAGAATGTGCCGATCCGTCGATGATGTGAGCGTAAGCAGCTCCTACCTGCTAGACACACCTAGACCCCTAGAAGTAGCTTCTAGAGCGTGGGCGGATATAAATCGAGCTGTATAGAGGTCTCTGCTATCTTCTTACGCAGAGGCACTGTTTTGGCAGCCAGCTTGTATTCTCGAGTGGCTGGCTTCTGTTTTGGAGTCTTTGGAGTCGGCCTGTAAAAGGCTGTGGACACTTGTGTCTACAGCGCGAAGTCGGAGATGCAGCTATAACGCAGCCGGCACACTGCGTTGCACTATCCACAAAGATACTAGGTCAAGACCCAGTCGGCAGATGGCCAAAGTCCACCATAATTAACCTGGGTTGGAAGATTCCGAAGCATGTCTTCAAAAGAAAAAAATAGATGTTAGATACCTAGGCAACCTAATACTCTATATCATTACTGGCCTATACGTCTAATAATAGCTGCGATAGCTGTACCCATCTCCACCGGGATGCGCAGAATATATCGTCGCACCACGCAACATGGCGGAGTTCATCGTCCTCTAAGATCCCCCAAGACTCAGGATGAATCTTACATTCCCAGCAAGATCGTGGCGGATAACCTTTACGCAGGCGGCCTGAGTGATGAATGTTGAACCGCCTCAGAGCGTGTATCGTGATAGTAACAGCCGAGCCATGGCGACGCCAGCTATAAATAGCATCGCAAACGCTACATTTATAGTCGTGTTGATGAAGTGAAGATGTTGGTAGGAAATATCCTACTCGGCCCCGGAAATCGGCGGCGGTACAGCCGCAGCAGTGGTTTTTGTAAGTGGTACAACGATGATTATTCCATCGCATAGTGTCGAAGCACGCGCAACGGTCCGGGCAGAATGGTAGTAGCAGCTGCCCGTCGTCGACCGTGATATGTGGACAGAGCATTTTCCCCAGTATATGTGCATTTGCTATCAGTCGTTCCTGTAAGAACGCCCGGGTCACAGGAGTCTGGTGGTGAAGCTTGAACAAGAGGATTGTTGCTTGAGAACTGATTCCAGGAGAGCCGGTATAGTGGAAGAAAAGATTCAAATGAGGCTTTCCATGTATGATGAGCTCGTACTCAAAAGGGTTTGCCCATGAGAGTTTCCACCAGGTATACCAAGACAGGTAATGATCGGGGTGTCGGCATAGTTGGTGTGGCGCCTTGGTTGAAGGGATGGGCTTCGGATCCATGAGCCAACTGGATCCTATAGACTCGTGATTGCAGATCTGTGCCCTTCCTTCGGCCAAAACACAGACTCGTGTCGCCGGGGAGGCTGCTCTCTGCCGTAATGAGAACAGGGGACGCTTATGAGACTCGTTACAGTAGGAGCACCAGAGAGTACTCTGCAGCGCCTTTATAGCGTTATCGTATCTCCCATCCTCTCGGAACTTGAGACAATCATTACAGAATCGGTCCCGATCCAAGAGATGCCGGTCCGGTAGTACAAGTTGAGGCTGCAGAGGCGTAACGTAGAATAGCGCTGAATATCCACGCTTCCACCATCTAGGCGTCCTGCAGTCTAGTATCGGATCAAACATGATTCTCATGAATAGTCCACAGGTACGCTGGGCGATACCTTTTGTTGCATTATCCAAGTCGCCCAGGATCAGCAATACCAGCTCCTCTGGCAGTCGGTAGAATGCGCAGTTTGTAAGGTTGGATCGCCGAGCGGATACCCATTTTGGTTCGTGTTCGCCTACATCACAGGTGCGGTACGACGATGTGCACCACTCTCTGACTCGAAGTGACCAGTCTTTTGATTTGGCAAAGATAGTAGTGACCAGTGGATTCTGCGTTGTATCATCGAGAGCTCGACGACTGTTGCGATCTCGCAATAGCATTGTCTCTCAGCGGCCGGGCACCTGGAGAGGTGATATAGCGAGCTGGACGAGGCACCTGGGGAAGGTATGCAAGAAGCTTGATGTACTCTGCCCGTATGCGCACTTTTCCCCTTAGTTTTCAGTCACTAAATGTTATTGTGCTTATGAGCTTTGGGCCTGGATGCATACCTTGGTATGTGCCGGAGTGGGTTGAGAGTGTGAGCTTCTAGCGAGAATGGTGACTTGCACAGAGCTTGGCCCGATAGAGAGGATCTAGTGTTTGGGAAGGTTTTAAGCGGATTTTGTTGATGATAGTAGTGGTGTCGGGCCAGGCACAACGAAGAGTGCGTAGTTGTTTGTATTATGTCTTATGCACGGGAATCGATTGATGAGGTTCCTGGGCTGTTTTTTCAGAGGGACTAGAAGTGCAATTTAGGAGCAAAGTGATGGATGTTGGCTGCTAAGTTGAGTTTCTTGGTAGAAGGAGGAGAAGCCACAGGTAGGACGGGAGGCAGGCATGTTTAGGTCAGGCCTTTGCCGAGCAGTTTATGATTTGCAACTGAAACCGTGGCAAATCACCTAGAACATTGGAAAAGTCTAACATGCTTCGGGCCAAGTTAAGGAAAGAATAAGGTTTGTTACAAAGTCTTGTGGCAGAAATCTTTTATAAGGGCTGTGGGCCCGGCCGTGGGTTTGATGGCTTTGCTGATTTCACCTGCAGTTATACAAGTAAGAACTGAGTTCCCCTTACTCAGCGTAATCTAATCCACCAGACCCAAACGAATCTCCGAACCCTTCTTATAACCAGATCCAGCACTGTTCCCTCCGCTAAGGACAGGGGCATATACAGCAGGCCCCGCGGCAGGAGCTTCTTCTACCGGCGCAATGGCAGGATGGTCCATGTGACGACGAGGCTCGTGATGCCAAACGTGTAGTAAAAGGACAGCCACATGATCTCGTAGAGGAACGATCGCTTCAGCTCGGCGACTGCAAGCCGATAGAATAGCCACGCACCTTTTAGGCTCGGCCTCGGATGGTTCAGCCAGGTCAGCGCCAACCTCTTCCTCGTGTCCATCTCGACTTGCAGCAGCACGGCCTCTCCCTCCTCAGGGATCAGCTCCGTCAGCCAGTTAATCTTCGGACCTAGGAGGGACTAATAGCAGCTTCTCATGGACGTCTTTATACCTGATATCTACGCCTTCGGCCCCACGCAGCAACTCTTGCGAGTCCAACATAATTTCTAAGTCGGTATCTGACCCAGATTAGACACAATCACGTCGTTATTGTCTCTTGCAGTTCTGTCTCAGCGTCTCCAGCCTCAGTCAACGTCCAGCGAAGATTTGTGTTAAACAAACTCTGATTGGCTCTCGTCGGTGGGTGGTATTTTGCATAGACCGGCCAGGGTGATATTGCTCTCCGTAGAGTGTCGGCCAACACTCTACGGAGAGTAAGATAGGCCGTGGACCCGTTTATGCATTTTTAGTTCCGGTTTCGCGGAGGTCTCGTCAGTTGTCCAGTGAGAATAGTAGGGATGCGAATTATGCGCATAATTCATCAATTATGCGGTATTATACGTATAATGCGTAGTATGCGTATAATACGCATCATATAATTGAATAATTATGTAATCACAATATATTTTTCCAACCACAACAACACTTATTTTGGCCTTTAAAATCAACAATTCAGGCCAAAATGCGACCTAAACATGTCCTCACATTTAGCCAATTCGAGGAAATCGATCAAGGCAACTCTAATCAAAAAAGGGCCGCATGCAAGCATTGTAAAAGGGAGTTATGTGTTGGGTTAGGTTTACATAACCTACGGAAACATTTGACTAATTGTAGCCTTAAACACGATGCTTCATTACTATTGTTATTCCGATTTAGTACTAGCGTATCGGATAAAAAGAGGCCGTTTCCGATTATGCGCATAATTGATCAATTATGCGATATTATATAATATTATACGGTATTATACGCTAGTCGTATAATAAAATTCGCATCCCTAGAGAATAGCGCTAATATAGAGAGCCCTTGTGAAGATAGTGGCTCAGAGCTTAGTCTATCGTGGCGCCCATAGGTAGGCTGTGTTTACGTTCGCTAATGAGTAAAAACAGCAGTTCACTGTGGCTGAGCTTAAAATAGAATACCCCCCTTCCCCCCCGGGACCCTCACTATTACTAGAGGGTCAAAAAGGCTGGGACAGGCTTGGCAACAAAAATACGTGTTTTCCACATAAAATGCATACTTTAAAAATTTATATATGATTAAATAAAATAGATAAAAAGAAACTTTTAATACAATATATATTCGAAATATTATATTTTATTTAAAAATATTTTTTTCAATCTTTTAAAAAAAATAAACTTTTTTAAATTGTTTTTTAAAAAAAAAGGTTTAAAAAAATTACACATCCCATATATTTTTTAAAAAATATTATATTATAATAACTATAACTTAATTAATATTACAGTTATAAACATGCAACTTATATTAAAATTTCTATTATTTTTCAAAGAATTTTTTAATATTAAAAGACTTTTTATAACTATAAAATTCGTTAAGTTAAAGGTTTTATTAACCTGAAAAATGGTTGAAAATGTTAATGCAGCCCATACATTCTATATAGTAAACACTATCTGTCCCAGCCTTTTTAACTTGTCCCAGATTTTTGACGCCCTTTGAGCACAGCGAAAAAGGCCCGCCAGGTGCTTGGGCCCTCTAGTACATTACACGCAATCGCTATTCATCAGCGCGAGGGTCATTTGATGTCAGCTAAGGTCCATTAGTACATGCATGTGTTGCTAGGTAGGCATACCGCATAAACACAAAAACATTTAGATACATTATCATAACATTTCATCGACCCGGCCACAATTTTGGAACTTTACATTGTCTCCAGTCCTCCCCTTTTTTTTTTTTTTTTTTTTTTTTGAAAAGAAATTTGACAAGTTTGACAATTTAGATATAGTTATTTGAATCAAGGCTAACTACCTAAGCTGGCGCGACATCAACTCAACTACCCGTATCCGAGTTGAAAGTTGAAACCTCTTCAAGCCCTTGTCATTTTACGTTTCGACATCGTCATCAGCCGCAACCGCCGCCCCTAAAATACGACGTAGCCTGCTTGGCTGTTTCCGTCCTGTAAGCTTCTTGTCGCACTACCTCAATTTTTCCAATCCGAAATCTTCTAGATGCTCGGCAAACCTTCCATCGTAAACCTTCTAGTTACTCCAAAATCGACATATTGACTTTCGGCCTGCAGAACTTAGCCTAGCCATTAAAAATGGCATTGTTCGAGAAGTTAGACGTCAACCCAGATAAGGTGCCCAACACCAAACTTGGCCTCCACATCTTCCAAGGCGTCCTCGCTATAGTCATATTCATCCTCGAGATCGTCTTGTTTCGAGCCGATAGTTCGATAATTAACGGCAATAATGGCTGGCCATTTGGACTGGTACGTAGGAGGTCTCCTTTTACTACATCCTTTACGGAAAAGAAAAATTTAAACATACAGCTACTTACAAGATCTATGGTAACAGTGTTTTTTATCTATCCCGGCTTGGATATATTTAGCTTTGGCGCCACGGTTTGAGCGAACTCGAAAGGCTGCCCAGCCGCATGTAATGGTCGTTACCGACACTATTTTCGCCATCTTCTGGCTATCTGCTTTCGCTAGTCAGGCCGCCTACAATACTGCCAACTCGTGCGGGCAAGGTTGCTCCGTTAGCAAGGCTATTGTTGGAATCGCCTTCTTCGAAACGTAAGCATCTAGTTAACACCATAGTCTACCTGAGCATCTTCCACTAACTGTTAGCATAGGTTAGCTTGGGCTGCAACGACAGCCGTTAGCGTATACACCCTGAGATATTATCAGCGTACTGAGAGTCTACCCGGTTACGAAAACATCGGGACTAGCCAGAACATCGACCCGGACAAGGCAGCTTTCTCGATGGCGCCGCACGACGAAGAAGCATATGCGCCGGTGCAGATGGACGATCATCACGAGGATGATCACCATGACGGTCCTTACGACCCGGATTCGTTCGGTGGACGATTTGACAACGATACGGCGTACAGACCACACAGCACGTCCCCGGCTCCTCTCGAGAACCCCTTCGATACCTACCGAACACACAGCACATCGCCAGCGCACAGCGATCTATACGGTGACCCCTACGGTTCTCAAACATCCAGGCCTCACATATACGCCCCACCCGCGGCAGAGGAGTACGACGACGATAGGCCGGTGCAATTCCCCAGCGCGAACTACGACCGGACGTTGCATTAAAGTGTTTTATGTCGGCGTAACGATTTCGTGTTTCCGAGGATGCGTTTAGGAGCTGACGAGGACCTTGGGAAAGTTCAAACTACCTAGGTACATAGGATAAGAGTTGTTTGGGACAGGGTGGCTGGCCAGTACAAAAGACTTCACGACGGTGATCGGTGTTCCGGATACCTATTTCATTGTGGTACTATGGGATATCAGGGTAGTGCCCACGATTGTTGCGTTTATGTTTTATGTTCTGATAGCATAGTGTGCAGATAGATCTTGCAGGGAAGGGTAAATATTGGCTTTATATAGCTATTCCACAGGTTCACTCTATTGTTTCGGTCAATACCTATGTATGCCTAAGTATCTAGATGTGAACGACGGCAAGATAGCCTATGCTTTTTCAAGTATATACCGAGGGCTAACTTCTTAGCCAGTCAAAATACTAAGATCCATAACTCCTTGCAATGCAGAAAACTCCATCCACCGGGTTAGAGTCCCTTTCCCCTTTTTTTAAGTCGACGAGGAACCCCTCCATTTCTTAATCCTCCTAGCGATATCCGCCTCTGTCTGCTGCATCGGATTCAACTTGCGATCCCTCGACATAGCCTTAGTATCATCTCCATGTTTGTCCACAAGGCTCTGTAACCACTCAGTCTCCCTTTTGGTCAGGGTTCGTGGCTTCTTAACTATAGGCCTGTTGGCTTCGTCCTCGAGCTGCGAAATGATCATATCATCCTGTCCATTCGCGTCCTCGATTCCACTCCACTCTTCACCTTCTTCTTCCTCATCTTCGTCCTCATCGTCATCATCATCCGAGTCGAGGCCGTTGAGGGGATCATTTAGCGGATTTTCTTTCCGCTTTGAACCGTCGAGTACGCGTATAATCTTGCCGTTCTCGTCCCGCTCCACGCGCACCTCGCTAATAACAGCGCGGGTGGGTTGGCTGATGGCGAAAGGATCGACAGGCTTCGTAGCTCGTCCTTGCAGTTTCTTTGACGCGAGATTGGGTTCTACGCCACCGGTAGGCGCTTTCAGGCGGGACACGAGGCCGAGACGGCGGTAGTTCTGCGTTGCGGTTTCTTTCTTATTCCTGTATCGCGATATTGTCTTAGCTCCGGTAATTCTTTTTTACCTTCATTTCGGTATGCGACTAGAGGGTGGATTATATATGAGGTATAGAGAGTCCTTACCAGCTCTTAGCTACCAAGTCATTCCCCAGCGGATTCAACAGGCGCTTCGATCTCAACGTCGATGAAGGCTGGCGGATGGCGGGGCGAGAAGAACGTCTCTTGCGCTTCTGAAGATCACGACCCATGGCGTTATCAGGTATGGTATTTTGACTTATTCAATTATATGATATACGTCGTATGAAAGGATTCGCCAGCTTACGAGGTATAGCTGATGCGCGCTGAGATTCAATGCTTGTTCGTTCGCTTTCTTGTTTCACTAGGAATAATGCAGCATATTGTAAAATGCTCCAAAATTTCTTACGATGCAGCGTTGATACCACTTAATGATAAGATAAGAAAGAACATTGTTTCTTATCTTATCTAGAGTCTAGTATGCACGTGCATTCTAGCTGATCAAAGCAGCTAAAAGCTGGCTGCCCGTCTTTCATCTTTCGTCTTTCCCCCACATGCTTTTTTAGGTACGTACAGCAGCTTCATATCGCGATTCTCCAATACTAAGGTGAAAATTCGTTAGCCTTTAGGATGAGTAAAACTACCTGCCACTTATTCTTTTTTCTTCTTCAAGGGTAAATTGATACGAGCCTTGCGGGGCAGCTTCTTGCTACATCAACCCATGCTGGCTGGGCTTGGCGTTGTGTATAGTTGTGAGGTGCTTTTAATATTTCCCATCTATCATTTATCATCGACCATCTACCATCTATCATCTACCGTACAAGTTGAGGAAGTCTTATACAAGTACCTATTTATCATGAAAATATGTGGGTTTGACAGGCCGTTGTCCACGGAGTCTTTGCTATCTCCAGTCTACTCAAGCGAGGCGGGGCGGTGCATGAGAAAGACGATGTTACATATTCCTACGTAGAACTGGAACTGGAACGACTAACGATTGTAACCGAATCCTCAAGTCCCGAGATGATTCCAAACGCAACAACAAAGTACTACAGTACTACAGTACTACACTTGACGTTACATATCCGCATCGCGGGTATTAGCTCTTCGAGGATACGAGTCCCCAACTCCTGTCACCTCGCTAAAGTTGATTCAGGGCAACCGGCGAGAGTCTATAAACTTTTACCCCCCAAACTCTGATCGATCGCCGACTCCCTGCCCAGTAGGCTTTCGTGATCCGAATAATGCTAGGGTTCCGGGTAGGCCAATCGGCAGCCAGGTGAACTTCTGGAACCCGCCGATGCGGCCAAGCCCGCGATTCTGATGCAATGGTCGGCCTGCTGCACGCAGAGTTGCAGAACAGGGGCGTAGGTTAGTTATAGATCAGGAATGAACCCCGAGCGCCCTTCTGTTCTCGATGTAAGTCTCGAATCACGGAGCCATTCCCCCAAAATGTACCCCTGGCTAGCAGATCCAAAACCTACTAGAACCCGCGAAGAAGAAGCTAAAATATCGGGCTTCGGAGAGCGCCACCTCATCATCTTCATACGTTTGTATACTACCTCCGCGGGATGCCTATCTCTACGCGCCGCCGCCAAAGCAGCGCTACCTGCGGGTCCGCTCTACATCGCTAGGGACCCTGCTCTAGTGTCGATGTTGCGCCGGCGGAAGATCTCGGATCCCGGAGTCCTCATCTGCCAATGAATTGGATTGGGGTACTGAGATCATGAATTGGTTGCTTGATTGATCGAACCAATGGAGCGCTACTAGCAGGCCTGGCTTGATTGACATTTCCCTGTGAAGGGGGGGGCGACTCCATGCTTACCATACGATCTACATACATAGTACTACGGAAATCATCTAGATTTCCCGGCTCCACATCAGGCGGCTTCCCTCATAGTTCGTGCCGTCGAATCTTAGCAGCACGAGCTGAGCATAAATCTGCCAACCAGCAGCCTCGGTTCGTCCGGAAGGCTGTTCACGGTGGTCAGACGACTTGCCGGCAGCTTTGTTTAAAGCTGTCAAAAACCGACCATACGTACTTGAACAATGGGTGAACCAAGGGGAAAGCGAGTCTGCTGACACAACCCGGGTATCTACCGTAGCTAGCGCTCTAGGCTACGGTAGATCTTATCATCTTCAGTGGGTCTGACATACCGAGCAAAGGTGACCGGCGAAGGTGAGGAAGCGCTAGCTAGCTACGTACTATACGCCTCGACTCTGCAGTGACGATCATTCTAGATGTTGGGTGTGATAGCGTTAGTCGGCCGAGGAGTAGTGGGACAAACGATGAATGGACGAACCAGACTTTGCTCCAATCGGCCTAGACCTTTGCGAAAGGCAAAAGAAGCTAAAGAGAAAAGAGCAAGTAAAAACAAGATGACAAGATATGCACATTGCTTTTACTATGTAGGCCTATGTACGCAAACCATGTATTACGACTTCTTGGCTTAGGCTATCACTGACAGCTGCCTAGCTAGCTATAGCTGGATAGATTAGGTTAGGTATTCCGTAGATACAGCCAGAGTCAGCAGCAGTAGACCCTGGTTTACTGATTTCCTCGTTCCTCTCCACTAAGCGATCTGTCCTATCCTTGTTTTTTTTTTATGTCCCGTTACGTAGGTACGTATGTAATGATTTGTTGAGGCCCTGAGATATGATCTACTTCTCATTACGTATCAGACCTGTTTGAAGAAGATTCGATAGTACCTAACGTACGCAGAATCTCGTGGCGGGCTGCGCTGCTGACAACAGTTCATTCTTCCTCCCTATTTAGGAAATGCGCGGGGGGTGGGGGTCCACGAACGACAGAGGCAAAGCTATACGAATCTTTGTAATTACTCTCACAACATATGCCTTGCATACATATAAACTAGGGGCATATATTGAAGTTGAGAGAGATATATCCTATGGGGACGTACGTGGAGTTACACTTCAGGCCCTATAGAGAGGGTATCCATGTATGTATGTATGTATGTGTGTATGTGTGTATGTGTTCCGAGAGGCTCCCTCTAGCATCTACGGCAAGGTAGGTAAGGTATCTACCGAATGATAGGTAGCAAGGGAAAGATGTGGCTGTGCCTCACGCCCTCCATTACGGAACGGTATTTACTAACGATGGAGGGCGGGAGGAAAGATTAGGGGTGGGTGGGAAGGTTCCTTCCCGCCGGCTGGTCGATGAACAGCAGTGGTGGTGGTGGTGGTGGTGTTGTGTGTGTGTGTGTGTGTGTGGCCTACATCTGGTTTACACTAGTAGGCATCCGAGATATAATACATATAGCTAGGTATAATATGCTAGTACTAAACATACTAGGCTAACCCAGTGTGTGTGTGTATGTGTTCTTGGGGGCATGAGGCGCTATGGCGTGACGTCTGACACCGGGAGATCTGCTTTGCTTGCTGACAGCTGCTCACATGCGCCCCCCAACCTATCTGAGGGTGTAGTAAAAAGAGAGACAGGGCGGGCGTGTGCGCGAAATCACGAGACTCAAGTGACGAACTGCGTATGCGTGTCTTGGGAAATGCTCTCTCTTCATCTGCATGTATGTCTCTGCCTACACATGTAGCGCAACTAAGTCATATGCTAGCTAGTTACAATCATCATCACCGCCACCACCATCACCGTGCGAAAGCCCCAAGTTTCTTCCTCCTCCTTTCCTATCCCCTTCTCTTCTTTCGTTGGGGGGGGGGGGGGGGGGCGGGGGGGGGCGGGGGCGGGGGGGGGGGGCGGGGGGCGGGGGCGGGGGGGGGGGGGGCGCGGGGGGCGGGGGGGGGGGGAGGACGCGCCGGAAGA